TGCTTGCCTGAAGTGTTGCCAGGTTGTAGCTTACAGAGGGAAAACGTTAGCCTAGCCGTGCTAACTCCTGCTTCGTCGCTGTAGACACTCGCCCCGACCCCTGCTTTAAAAACCCTTGTTTGTGCTCAGGAGGAACAAGAAAAAGAGGGACTCAACGGGATGGAGAAGGAGAGTGAAAATAGAAAATGTGCTTGTGCAAAGAAGAGGGATGACTAAACAGGATGAAGTGAATGTTTTTGTCTATCGCGCAAAAGTGAATGGAGAGGAGTGTCGATTTCTACCTCTTTAACCACCTCCCCTCTTCTTTTTCCTTGTCTGTTTGTTTTTCGCTCGTTTTATCTGCTCTCAGGGTAACTATTTTTAGCCTGACCGACTCACTTCCTGCAAGCCGAGGATAGCAAAATGTGGAAGAGAAGGGAGGAAAAGAGAGACGGAAAAATGAAGGTGGCTATAGTGTAGCATAAACAGACGGAGGACAAACTGAATTGGCATGATAGATAAGTAAAGGTAAAGAGATGTATTTGCAAAAGGCCGAAAGACTGAAGAGAAGACGAGGGCCTTGTAAAAGAGGTGATGAGTGGGAGGTGAAAGTGAGGAGGAGGGTTGTGAAAGGAGGAAGAGAGGGGGATGTCTTTGAAACGACCTGCTCCTCTTGACACGACTCAGACAAAATTGACGTCACTGGAAACCTGAATCTGTGACGTACAACGCCACCCCCACACCACCCCACCCCCCCCCCCCCCCCCCCCCCCCCCCCCCCCCCCCCCCCCCCGCTCTGTGCCTCTCTGGGTGTGTGTTATGGAAAAACTGCAAGTCAAGAAGACATTTTTAACAGAAACACTGATCTGTCTGATATTACAGAGGGTTTTAGTTTAGTTTGGGGAAATTGGTCTTTTTCCCTTCCGGTTGTTTGCTCCGTACAGTGCAGTGATCAATAACATCAAGGTCAAGTTTTTTTTTTTTCTTGTTTACAGATTTTCTGACTCTGGCGACTTCAGACTCACATCTCTGATAAACGTGTATGTACACAAAAACAAATAAGACACTAGAAAGTCGAAAAATATGGCACTTTTTCAGCATATCCGACACACGACTTATTCCCCCCCCCCCCCCCCCTCCCCCCCCCCCCACCCACCCCCCAAAAGAAACTTTTGACATTTGTTTATAGGAAGAACACAGAAGAATAGGAAGAACACACACACACACACACACACTCACAACATGTTCGTAACTCATGCCCTGATGAACATTACAAAAATATACATTTCTGTACAGCATTGCATAAGAAAAATAACACACACACACACACACACTTGTACAGTATGTTTTTCATCTTTTAAGTTGAATTATAGTCCTGTATAGCGGCTGACTAAACCATTCTGCGTGTGTTTACAGGGAGAGTTGGTTGAGTTATGGTTCATTACAATTGGCTATGATCCCGGGGGGAGAACACACACACACACACACACACACACACACACACACACACACACACACACACACACACACACACACACACACACACACACACACACAGTGAGTGGTCGCTCCACTCCTGCCCCAGGAAGGGTTGACTGGGTGGCATATTCACAGATGAGTGTTATCTTTCTTAAAACCATCACTGAGTGGACACGCCAGATGGGACCGTCAGACACGATGTTAAAAATACAGAGGGGGGGTAATAACTGACTTCAGATCAGCTGTTCAGACTCTTCCTGCTGAGCAATGCTGGATTTAAACTTCCAATCAGAGCACGCAAACAATGGCTGATCTGTGGTTTTACTTAGCGTTCATGATTCCCTTCAGACTTGGATCAAATTCGTTTTTGTAACCCTTAATAAAGTAGAAATCTACATCCAGTATGTTAGCGTTAGCATTAGCCTAGCTAGCTCAGTTTCGCCATTATCTCATAACCCCTCGGTAATATAATCCCGCGTCCCATCTAGCGTCTCCAAACTCAGGTGACTACGTCTCACACATCGTTGTGCCTCCAGAGAACTGTGTGCCAGTAAGATCTGCATCACAATGCTGCGTGGAATACATTTCATTATCTCTCTTTCACCAAGCTAGCCAACAGAACTCATCCATCTTTCAGCTTCAGAGAAATCAAAAATAATGTCACTCAACATGTGATGCAAGTCTTTTACAGTGAGGCAGTTCCTTCAATGGAGGGATTGAGCAAAAAGAGAGAGTGATAGAGGAAGGTGGTCGACTCGTTTTAACATCTGTGACCTTTAAATATTCTTGGTTTTACACTGATATCATAACATTTGATATATCTTACACTCGTGAAACAACTGCGACATTGGATTCTTCCTACTTTAATGAGTTGCTTTTCTTACTGAACATGTATTTTCAGCCAGCAAACTAATTTCCCATCAAATAAAGTACAATGTGCTCTTGATTTAAAACCCCTCAGTGCCAACCACCTCTCTCGATCATCCTGTCTTTTTCTCCATTGGCTTTTTGTACACAGCAAAACACATTTGGACGTTATTGCGATGGACTTTTTGTTCCAATAAGGCCCAAAAAACACAAAAAAAGACACGAGAGAATCTGCCTTTTCTCCAACAAAGTCATCGACAGACGAGTGTAGCTGTTGCTCTGCTAACAACTGCTGTAAAAACAACTGATTGTTTGCTGCTGCCAAGAAAAATATAAAAACACTTCAACTCTAAGTCTCATTGTACACTATTAGAAAAAGATCCTGCGTCTCCTGAGCGCCATTTTCAGAGTGTGTTCTCTATCGTCTATCGTTGTGGTTTATTTGGTAGAAAGCGTTGAGTTTGGAAGTGACTCCCTGTGGTGAGTTTAAAACTACAGCCTGTACAGTTTCTACGAAGTGTTTTCCCAAAGCCAGTGCACCTCCCGCGTGTGTTCATTAGCAGCATGCTAAAGCTTAGTGAGTAGAGGAGAGTGACCAACTACCTCTGTGGATCATTTAAATGCAGATCAAGGTTGGAAATAAATCCCCTCTCTGTACACGGGGGCCAATTCCCGGCGCTATTATTACCGAGACGTTATTAACATTAGCCGGATTTAACTTACATGATGCCCTTTTCAGTGGGAAATGACTTCCTCCTGATTGGGTGTGTTGGGGTTACGTTAAGGCGCGTCTCGCCTGGCGCTTCTGTTTCACGCCGCGTCACCTCGCCTCTCTCGCTTCTCATTAACCCGCCGAGCCCTCAGAGGGGTGTGTGTGTGTGTGTGTGTGTGTGTGCAGCCAATATCCAGCAACTGCTGACAGGCTGCAAGTGAAAATGGAAGGCGTAGAGAGAATTTCGACCATCGGAGGCTCGTGTTTAACAGCATTAGTTTTTGTGTACATGTTCATACAGACTTGTCCTAGCAAACATGTCAAAATAGTTTTTTTGCAGATCTATGGCAAGTCCATCTTGAAAAGTACCGTAGCCAGACAGGGCAGCTTAGATGAAAAATGACCTATTTGATATGGATCGTGCTCGGCTCTAGCTAATGGATAATCAATTGGGCAATGAAGTTAGGCTGCTGTCTCTAAAGGCGTTATGCGGATGCAGATAAACACCGCCCCCCCCCCCCCTCCCCATCGCCTCTGAAAAACATCAGCTGCTTTCACCTCACCCATGTCAGAAGGCTTGCTTTACTGGCACTCATGGGGCCATACATTGCGTTTCTCATGCATAATTTCTGCTGCTGAGATACAAGAGAGGCCGGGGAACGGTGAAGGGTAGAAAGGACAGGGTCATAGTCGTGCTATAGTGGATGTTTGCATGATTTTCCATAGTTTGGAACACATCTTGCATGAGTCGAATGATCCTAAAAGCACATTTAAGCATCATGTATGCAAGAGATAAACATGAATTGACACTGAATGTGTTGCAATCCCGCTCCTTTAAAGCTGGAAAGGCCCTTTTTAAACGCCCGTCTCACATTCAAGATGTTGTAGGAGACATTGTAGCCTACTTTCCAGTGCTCTTCCCCCCCGCAGCAGAAAGCATTTCCCAGGGTAGCAGCGCTCTGCAGTGGCGCTGTCCTTGGTGCTCTCTCTGCTTCAGTTAGGCAGCGGCTGGCTGAGAAACACGTTTTTTTTTCTCAGACGGGGAGCAGATTTGGTTTCATCACACCAAGGACAACACGCGGCGGGGCTAAATGTGGAAATCCCTCTCTAGGTTTGAGCAAACGACCGCGGTTTTCTCTGCATGTCAGGAGTGGATTTCTTCTGAGAGGCGTGTGTTAGGATACCTCAGATGTGTTTGTGGCTTTGACAAATGCAGACGGTGCTGTTGGCATTGGGAAAAGTCAAAATGAGCTTGGCAGCAATGCTAATGATCACGGGACCACCATCTAATTTTCAATATCCATAATACCACATCATTATCTGTGAATAAACTCACTGATTACTTTAATCTGCATCCGCTCAAGGACACCGATGTTCAAATATGTTTCAGGGGAGGAAATATTCTAGACGGCAAAGATAGCTCATTGAGAAAACTCAAGGTCATTCGTTGTGTATATTTAGCTCGTTGTATTTTTATCCACTTAATTTCAAACACATCAGTGAAAACACATACAGTATTTTAAGACTGTTTCACACCTTCTGGTTGCATAACCATGCAGTGCTCCAAAAAGCTCAGGTCCTGTGGAGATTTGAGGACATTTCTGCCTAAATTCTGCCGTCACATATATGCTACTTTTTTAAGAAGTAGGCCTCAACCGAAAGAGGTCAGTGGAAAAAGTCACCTGACGCCACCAAGAGGATACCTTAAACAGGCTTTTGCAGTTGGTTTCACGCCACCTTCGTCACTCAACATGATCTGTGTTAGCGCTATCTTTTTTTTTGACCATGCACCCTTCTTCCCGTGACACTTTTACCGTGGCCAGCCGTGCGTTTCGCCCTGATATGAAGAGTCGAGGAAATCTCCGTCCTCACAGCCTTCAACCTCCTCATCTTCGTGCTCTATCTTCTACTACCCTGACTCAGCGTCAAGCATCATGCCAGACAGAAAACCAACCTTCCCGTGCTACACGTCACTGGAGGTCCTGGGTCTGAGGGACAGGTTGGACGGGAAGCACCCACAGCAGGCCACCCACAGCGACTTCTGGATGTCTGGGTTTCTGAAAGCGTAGATGATGGGGTTGATGACGGAGCAGCAGGTGGCCGGAGGACACCGTGGCGTACGTGTATATGGCCGGGTAGCTGGAGTTGGCCACGATGGAGTACATGGCGAACGGCAGCCAGCACGCCCCGAAGGCACACAAGATGGCCGACAGCGTGGAGACCCCTTTGGTGGTGGAGATGGCCACGAACTGGTGCTGCACGGCGATCTGCTGCGCGTGGCGGAAGGCGATCTTGCAGATTTGCAGGTAGAGCTGCATCATCATGGCGAAGACGAGCAGGAAGGTGACGGCGAGGGCCACGGCGTTGATTTTGGTGACGGGTCGCAGGATGCTGCACGTGGATTCGTCTCGGAGACAGTTCCATCCCAGAGCCGGCAGCGAACCCAGCGTCACGCACAACACCCAGATGAAGACCACCATCAGGTAGGTGAAGGTGACCGTGCGCTCCGTGTGGTAGGTCAGGGCGTTGTACAGCGACAGGTAGCGGTCCACCGTGATGGCGAGGATGTTGAACACGGACGCGGAGAAAGCGGAGATTAAAAGTCCGACAGACAGCAGCGTCACGAACTCCACGGAGCTGTCGATGAGATACGTGAAGACAAAGTTCAAGATGAGGCCCAGACCGGCCATGAGGTCCGCCACGGCCAGGGAACCAATCAGAATGAACATGGGCGCGCGGAGAGTCGGCGTGTAGAACAGAACCGCGATCACCAGTGCGTTCTCGCAGGAAATGAGCGTCCCGGTGACACACAGAGCGATGTCCCACGGGTTTACTTCCTGGATGGCGACAGCGGTGGTGGCCGGCTGGAAGTCAGGGGTCAGGGTCCTCACCACGGGCTCAGAGGAGGAGTTTGAGGGGTCCTCGGCGAGGCTCCAGGAGGTGGAGGAGTCGAAGGGGTCGAGGGGGGAGGAGGAGTTTAGGCTGCTTCCCCCACCGCTACTCATGGCTGCTACTGCGGCCAGGGAGAGAATCATAGCTGGAGAGAAAGGGAGAGGAAGGAGGAGGAAGGTTAGGGGAGTGTAAAGAAGAATAGGAGAGTTCAGAGGTGAAAACTAAAGGAATGTATTAAAGAAGAAGTGGTAAGAAATGTAAAAAGGATGGAGAGAATTGAGGTGAAAAACAGTAGCAAGGAGGGATTGCAGGCGATAACGTGTAAGAAGGAAATGTTCAGAAAAGGGTCATGTTAAAATATGCACAACAAAAAGCCAGAGGGAAAAGGGAAAGAAGAATGAGAGGGTTAGTTAGTCAGGTCAGAAAAAGGCTAAGATGAGGGGTTTGAAAAAGACGATAAAGATAAATGAAAGGAGAAATGGTTGACGGAGCCAAAAGAGATGCCGAGTTTAAAAATAAAATGTGAGGGGAAAAAGGTTGATAGAAATCAAAGAAAAAAATGTGTAGATGAAAAAGATGGGTAAAGGGGTTGTGGATACAAAGTATGATGATAGTGTGAGTAAGGGAGAGAAAACAGCATAGGAGACGAGGACAAAACAAAGGAGGTGAGGAAAGGAGGCTTTAACGCTTATCCCCCTTTTAGACGGAGGGGCAAAAAATACGTTTTTCATCCATCCATCGGTTCATTCATTCATTCATGAAAACAAATATGCTCTTGACCCGAAGCCCACACGTCGGCACGAGATTTAACATAAATTAGCATTATTGGTTTTTGTTTTACTATCAGAATTTGTGTCTTAAAGTAGCGACAGTAAAAGTAGTCATTATGCAGATTGGTCCATTTCAGAATAATATATATGATATGTTTTATAATGATTGATCATTAAAGTGTTCTCAAAGCTGGTAAAGGTGCAGCTAGTTTGAATGACTTTGTAAATAGGGTAGCTTGTGAATTTACTCCAGGTGGAACTAAAGTCTGATTTAACACTTGATTATATTTCACATCATTCATCAAAATCTGAAGTACAAAATAGCAAAAAATGGTAATACTCAAGTTAATTACAAATACCTCGACATGTGACTTAAGTACAGTACTTGAGTAATCTACTTAGTTATTGTACACCACTGGGTACAAGCCCCCTCCCCCTCTAGAACCGCCCATGGTGGACACGCACACAAAGAGAGGAAAGTAACCCATACATTTCTGAAATATTCCTTCCATTTTTGCCCCATTTCTGACCAAAGCATGCACAATTAAATCAAACAACTGACAATGAAACAGCCACCAAAGCTTCAATCTAATGCAGTCGTACCTAGAAGATGCCGGATCCTGAAGAAGGTGAATTTCCTCACAGTCAGAACCATCATCAACACATTTCTATTTTTAGAACATCTCTAAAAATGGTGCATGACGTCCTGGGGCACGGCGCGCGCGGTATATAGCTGCTGTCCTATAGTCTCGTGCGTGTGAGCTCCGTTTACATTAATAAGAACTGTGCTTTAATTCGGATTCAGATCAGTCGCACGCAGACACATATAAAAAAAAAAAAAAATCCAGCGCGAGGCTAATTTTAGATCCGCGGAGCCGAGAGATGCCAGGAGGATGGAGCTCCATTCACAAAAAAATGTCTCCCCTCTCTCTCTCTCACAACTCCCACCTCAGCCTCCACACACACACACACACCCTTCCTCCGCCCCCTTTATTTTTCATCTCTCTTTCATGGTGTTGTGCACGCGCAAACACGCACTCACTTTCACCGTCAATGACTGCAAACCGGGGAAGGTCACCGGCTTCAGCACCACAGAAACCGGAGTTATTTTAAAAATGTAATCCGTTACAATTACTAGTTACCTATGAAAATAAAAAATATAACCTATAATCCGAGTAACAAAATATAACCCGGATTACTTTCCGTTACTTTTGGACTAACTCACTGTCAAATGCAATGCAAATGAATACAAAATAAATATGATGTTTTTTTTACTTATAATGTAAAATAACAGAACAATGTGACCTTAAAAAAATTAATATTTAGGATTAAAAACGTGTCCTCTTTTAGGATACAGAATAGTATGCTGATTTAGTTTAATATATTAACTAAACAGTGTTTTTGCTTAATAAATGAAGTGCATTTGAAAAAATATATTTAAAATAAAGATTAAAAGTAGCCTAAAAAAGTGAAAACGAATAACCAAGTAGTAGGCCTACGTCTCCCAGTCCCTACACAATATATACATTTTACATTTAAAACGTATTGAAATGCTGCTTGTAGTCCCCTTTTTTGTTTAAAATGTAACCGTAATCTGTTTTGTCTTTTCATGTAACTGTAAGGGAATACATTTGTCTAGTATCCTGATTACGTAATCCCGTTACATGTAATCCGTTACTCTGGGAACTTTTTTCCCACAAGCCAATCAGACACCCTGCCTCCATGCACCTGCTTCATCCTGCAGCTCAGATTTCAGCGTGTTTTAGCGAAACACAGAACAATAAATACCTGGATCTGTTTCATTCAGCTGCGGCAGTGCAGTCCCTAAGAGGGGGGGCGGGGGGAGGCAGGGAGAGAGGGGGGAGACCACGCCACACAGAGACACAAAAAGAGAGGAATTTACCAGCTTCTTCTTCTTGTTTTTCTTCTTCTTCTTCCCTTGCAGGAAACAGCTCTCTCGTCCGTTATCCTTCACTTTATGCGTGCATGTGTGTTTTTTTCTCTCCCAGGGTCTCCCCCCTTTTCAGCGGCGCGCGCTATATTCCTCGGTTGGCATGGTTATTAGCCTTCTGTCGGCGGCTCCGTCCTCGCGCTGCACATCCCCGGCCCCTCATTGGACGAGCGTGTCATTCTCCTCGTCTGACGTCAGAACCTCCACTCACCGTCATCATGGTCGGCGCGTGTGAATCACGGAGAGGGAGGATAAGTGAATAATATGTTCACCTTTAGTGGAGGAAACTCAGCTCTGCTTTTATTTAGGAATATAGGTCGACTGTTGCCTACTATTTATATATATTTTTAGCATTGACTTCCATTCTTTTGACATACCAGCAGTGGTGGAAAGTAACTAAGATTTACTCAAGTAGCCTTAAGTACAATTGTAAGAGACTTGTACTTGAGTATTTACACGTGTTGCTACTTTATTCTTCTAATCCACTAAAATTCAGAGTTAAATAGTGTACTTTTCCTCCACTACATGTATTTAATTAGTTACTTTACAGATGTGGATGAATGATGTGAAATATAATCAAGTGTTAAATCAGACTTTAGTTCCACCTGGAGTAAATTCACAAGCTACCCTGCAGTATACAAAGTCATTCAAACTAGCTGCACCTTTACCAGCTTTGAGAACACTTTAATGATCAATCATTATAAAACATATCATATATATTATTCTGAAATGGACCAATCTGCACAATGACTACTTTTACTGTCGCTACTTTAACTATATTTTGATGATAATACTTTTCTAATTGAGTAACATTTTGAATGCAGGACTTTTACTGTAACAGAGTATTCTCTGGTACTTCTACTTTTACTCAAGTACCAGATTCTCCCAACTCTGCACACCAGGAGCAATTTAGGGTTAAGTGTCTTCCCCACACTTTGACATGTTGACTACAGGGACTGGGGATCGAACCACTGACCCTAAAAGTAGCATAGGGGGTGAAACATTGAAACTTACTAAAAAATAAATTGCCTACATTATTAAGAAATACAATAAAAACAATGTTTGGCTGCAAAACTATTTGTGTTGTTTATCCCAAACTGCATTTAAGTTAATGGTAAAGTAAGTTACTGAACTAAAATGTAAGGTACTTTGCAAATGCGCCTCTCTTATTCAGCAACTGGCCCCAGCACGGCCCCCCCCCCAGTAAAATTGGTGTCGAACCACCAGCGATTATTACAGACCCATTTCCCCCCTGAGCCAAATCCACCTTTTTTTATTGTTTTTAAAACTGAGGTTAAATATAAATATAAGTGGTGGTATTTTACTGGACCTTTCACGACACTTCTTCCTTTCACTTTAAAGCGTGAAAAGGGTGTGATTAATAACCAACAAAAAATGCATGTGTGCTAAAATTAGCTTCTGCTGCAGCTGCATCTTGTAAAGTGTGTGTGCATGCTTGAGTTCTGCAGACAATGCAAAGCAGCTATACAGCGTGCTGATGCTTATGCAACCTCACAGAGCTGCTGGGTATCATTACTCGCATGTGTGTCGCCATGCATGAAGAAGCTGGTGCGGATGTAAGGAGCCCAACAACAGATATGTTAAGCAGATGTGTGTGTGTGTGTGTGTGTGTGTGTGTGTGTGTGTTGTGTGTGTGTGTGTGGTGTGTGTGGTGTGTGTGTGTGGTGTGTGTGTGTGTTGTGTGTGTGTGTGTGTGTGTGTGTGTGTGTGTGTGTGTGTGTGTGTGTGTGTGTGTGTGTGTGTGTGTGTGTGTGTGTGTGTGTGTGTGTGTGTGTGGTGTGTGTGTGTGTTGTGGTGTGTGTGTGTGCGAGTGCATGTGTGCGCGAGTGTGTGTGTGTGTGTGTGTGTGTGAGAGAGTGAGAGAGTGCTGCAGGCTTCTTCACATCATCTGTGGCCTCAAAACCAACTTGCTCTGGCAGGTTGATGAAGTTATAATGATGAAGATGTAAATGTTGGATTGACTAAGAAGTGTGTGTTGCAATAATGTGTTGTTTGATAGAAAACCAACCCACATAAATTGACACAAGGATAGTCACATGTAACATTGTAACTCAAGGGTGTGGTCACAGGTGAGACAAAAAAGACCTGTTAGTTTTCATTGAATTACACACACTGACCTGATGAGGCCAGTATAATCCAAAATCCTATATTTTGATTGCCAGGTGCTGTAAATCCCTAAATCTATATTTTAGTAATACTTTTAAGCAGATGTTAGTTTCCTAAGTGGCTATAGGGCTCTGCAGTTATTCACCAGTATTTAGTATAAAGCAGATTCTTACCAATACATTTTGTCAGCCCTATTAGCTCGCACTGATATATTAGCGTTAGCATTTATGTCACGAGATAAGATTTAGTTTTAGCTTTTCATCTTATTCCCAGCCTCAACCTGAGCAGTGAAGATGTTATGAAAAACACCTGTGCCCTTAAGGAATCAACATTTAAAAAAAAATAGGATCAATGTATTTTTCTCTGTTTTATTACATTTTGCAGTCGTTTATTTTATTATTAACACATGTACTGTGTATTTCCATAGCAACAGGCTACCTACAGCTGCTGATGAAGATCACGTGACAAAAAGCTCCAGAACATCTTGAGAATTTACCCCGTTTTTTTTTTTAACTGTAAAGATCAAATTTGTTATCTCCATTTTTGTATTTCTGCACATTCAATGTCTTATCTTTTCACCCTCTGTCTGAAACCAGAGCCCAGTCTGCTATGATTGGTTAGCTGGCCAGCTCTGTTGTGATTAGTCAACCGCTTAGAGATGTCCCGCCCAATCACGTACAATGTGTTGGAGCACTATCCACTAAAAGCGATTAGTTAAAGTGGACCTATCATGCTATATTTGAATAATATAGTGTAGGACCATACCTATATAAGGCATATTTATACTTTTTTTTTTTCAAAATACCAAACAGATCATGCATTTTAGCCATGCCTCATTTTGCTCAATTTGACAATTTATAGCTGTTTTTGCAAGGGCAGATTCTGTGAGAACAGCACCATCTACAGGCCTGGCATATGTACTACAGCGTCTCCAGCGCTTTCGAACGGCAATGGCCGTGGCTGTCTCCTCCTGATTGGTGGAGTTGGCCCAATAGCCGTAGCGCCACCGTCCTGACGTCAGGACAGTGTTCAAATCTGGATCAGTTTTTATCAGATCCGTTGCAGCCCCTTTTTTAGAGATTTGGGTATGGAGGAAAATAGAGAGGGTTGTGTTTTCTGACACTTGGTGAGTTCCCTGGAACACCGGGGACACATATTCATGTATAAAAGACGCACACAAGTGCATTTTGCATGATAGGTCCCCTTTAAATTGTGATTATGTCACAGAAGTAAACAAAGGAGTCCAATGGAGTTGTTTCAGACAGGGGGGGTGAGAGAGAAACCCCCTATGGAGGAACACAGGGATTTTAGCCTTTTCCGACCATGCACTAAAATCTGAATAACACACTACAGGAAAGGGAAAACCCCAAAAAGCATAATGAATATCATATTCTAAGAGGTGGAGGTGGTCAAATTCAGTCTAATTCCCCTCGACGCTCTTATTAATGAACTGCTGCTCTGCTTGGATATGATAATAGCTTCCACTTTAACATCATTTCTTTCTAACTAAATGGGTGTGTGACACCGTGGCCTGCTTGCTAATGTGAACCTCCCTGGTGTGAAAATATTTCTCTCTTTCTCTTTGTCTCCCTTTATCTCGATTCCATCATCACACCTTTAGTGCAGGAAACTCCCGAGCAAAGCCCAAACGCTCTGCTGCAAACCGCTCTCTTTATTTTCTTCAGCTACCCTCATGTCTCTTTACAGCTTACCCCGAAATATAAATCCAACAGTAAAGAAGATTTTTATTTATTTTAATCCCAACATTCTTACTCTCCTTCCCATCTTTGTTATTTCAGTGTACGGCGCTCTGTATGAATCACTCCACATGATGAGCATACAGATGAAATGCGAGTGCACGTGCGTCTTCATTGACGCCCTCTCCATGTCCGACTTCATTCATCTTTCCAGCAAAGCACCATGGGTAATTGAGAGCTGTTACATCATCTTGCTGCTCTGGTATGCTTTGAAGCAAAACAAATGCTGTCTCTCTCGCTGTCCTCTTTTACACACACCTTCAGTTTTTTTACACTGTGATGACAAACAAAGTCAGACTGCATTTCATCACTGATTCAACATTCAATGGAAGTCATGGGAGGACATTGAGTTGTATAACTTCGTCCTTTTTAGGGCAGTGGTAAACACAGCCAATGTCGAGTTATCTAATTCAAATGGAGGACAAATGTGCAAGGATATGAGAAAATAGACGAGGTGTGCTGTAAAAAAAAACTGGATAAACAGGCTTCTGCTGGATTAAATCCCCACACACACATTGGCTGGAAACATCTCAGCGGTGAATGTGGATGACTAATACTTCCCCCCCCCACCCCTCTCCCTTCACACTCATACACACTCTCTACAAACAACAACTGGGTTTCCCTTGAGTAAAATGCCAAAAGGAAAAATCCACTTACTGTATGAGGCTGGACTCAAGTTGGTACTTAATGTTTTATCATTGTTACAGATATATGCCGATATTGGAAAGATCTCTCAGGATCCCTTTAGCCCAATGCACATAATAATCACTCATATATTACCTGTGAAGACATGAGGGAGTTGCATTAACAGATATCAGTAGTGTAATGAAACCAGGGCTGTCAAGGATAACACGTAGTGAAGAAGTTGAAAATAGCATGACATGAAAATACTTAAAGTACCTCAAGATTGGACTTAAACACAGTACTTAAAGTGGACCTATCATGCTATATTTGAATAATATAGTGTAGGACCATACCTATATAAGGCATATTTATACTTTTTTTTTTTTTCAAAATGCCAAACAGATCATGCATTTTAGCCATGCCTCATTTTGCTCAATTTGACATTTTTTAGCTCTGTTTTTGCAAGGGCTGATTCAGTGAGAACAGCACCACCTAGAGGCCTGGCATATGTACTACAGCGTCTCCAGCGCTTTCGAACGG